GGAAAATCGGGAATCAATATTTAAGGTCTGAACTAATACTACCACACACACACACACACACACCGACACACACACACACACACACTATCGATGCCCCTCATAACACCATCTGCGAGGGAATTACTACACCACGCCAGGTCCCTCATAACACCATCTGAGGGAACTACTACACCACGTGAGGTCCCTCATAACACCATCTGAGGGAACTACTACATCACGTGAGTTCCTCCTAACACCATCTGGGAGGGAGTTACTACACTACGAGTTTGCTGTTCAACACTTACATTAATCTGTATGTTCACTGTATGTTCCTTTACCTTTCTCTAATGAAGGCTTTTGTTAAACCACCAATGTATGTAATAAGTCATTTATGTCCAATGTATATTTTCAGCCTTCGGGCTGCAGAATTTTTTCAATAAACCGTTAAATATTAATTAATTATTACACCCATGACGCTCAAGGCAAGCAGCTAACCCACATTTTTGACTCCCTCTCCAACACTTCAAGTTCACCATCACCAACACTTCAAGTTCACTATCACCAACACTTCAAGTTCACCATCACCAACACTAAGTTCACCATCACCAACACTTCAAGTTCACCATCACCAACACTTCAAGTTCACCATCACCAACACTTCAAGTTCACCATCACCAACACTTCAAGTTCACCATCACCAACACTTCAAGTTCACTATCACCAACACTTCAAGTTCACCATCACCAACACTAAGTACCATCACCAACACTTCAAGTCACCATCACTAACACTTCCAGTTCACCATCACCAACACTTCAAGTTCACCATCACCAACACTTCAAGTTCACCATCACCAACACTTCAAGTTCACCATCACTAACACATTCTCAGTTCACCATCACCAACACTAAGTCTACCATCACCAACACTTCCAAGTTCACCATCACCAACACTTCAAGTTCACCATCACCAACACTTTAAGTTCACCATCACCAACAGTTCACCATCACTTCCAAGTTCACTTCACCAACAGTTCACCATCACCAACACTCAGTTCACCATCACCAATTAAGTTCACCATCACCAACACTTCAAGTCACCATCACCAACACTAAGTTCACCATCACCAACACTAAGTTCACCATCACCAACACTTCAAGTTCACCATCACCACTTCAAGTTCACCATCACCAACACTTCAAGTTCACCATCACCAACACTAAGTTCACCATCACTAACACTCTCACCATCACCAACACTTCAAGTTCATCATCACCAACACTAAGTCACCATCACTTCAAGTTCACATCTTCAAGTTCACCATCACCCAACACTTCCAAGTTCCATCACCAACACTTCAAGTTCACCATCACCAACACTAAGTTCACCATCACCAACACTTTAGCTTTCCCACCCCCCCTGTGACAAATTTCATAGGCGGTTGAGATATTTTACAACGTGTTTAAAACTGTGGTAGGGTGGGTGGGTGGTTGGGCGGTGGGTGGTGGTTGGGCGGTGGGTGGGTGGGTGAGTGGTGGTTGCGGGTGGGGAATGATGGTGGTTGGGCTGTATATGGCAGAGTGGGTGGGTGGGTGGTGGGCGGTATATGGTAGAGTGGGTGGGTTGGTGGTGGGCGGTATATGGTAGAGTGGGTTGGTGGGTGGTGGGCGGGGCATGGCAGAGTGGGTTGCTGAAACAATAACGTTGTTCAGAGTGTCAACAAAGGCGTGCTGGTGACCTTGAGGGAGCAGCGAGGGTGACCAGCCGCCACACCCTCCCTCATTCCCCCACCCCTCCCTCCCTCACTCACCCACACCCTCCACCACTACCCACACCGTCTACCTCCTTCACTTCCCCCCACCCTCTCCACCATTCCTCCCACACACCACCCTCTCCCACAAACCTCCCTCACAATCCCTGGCCTCTCCAACACCACATCTTCTCCAACACTACTTCATCCAGTCTACCTCTAGGTTGGGTTAGGCCAGTTCAAGTATGGTTAGGTTAGGTTAGGTCAGGTCAAGTTGGGTTAGGCCAGTTCAAGTTTGGTTAGATTATTTCAAGTTTGGTTAGGTTCATTCAGGTCAGGTTAGGTCAAGCTGGTTTAGGCACAACCAGTACCCGCCCCCTCCCCCAACCCTGTCACGACCCTAACACTGGGGGAAAGCTGTACTTGTCCCTGTCTGCCTTCTCCTGTCCACTAAAACTGTGTCATGTCATGTCATGTCATGTCTGTCTGTAAGTGTGTTACGTCTCCTTCTATCAAATTCCACCTTGTCATATTTACCTCCCTGTCTGTCTACCACACAATCCCGTCTCTTCCCGTCTGTCTGCCTGTATACTTCATTGACTGTCGTGTCTGTGCCAACGACCCCCCACCACCACTACTGATAAAAATGGCAAGACAGATAGAAGTCATCGCGTCCCCTCACACACCCAATAATAACAACCACAAATACCATCGTGCAATCACCACCACCACCAATAACACAACACTGTCACCTACCTCCACACGCTGGCTGACTGGCAAACACCTCTCCTCCTTCGACACCCCCTCCACCCTCACCTCTCCTCCTTCGACGCCCCCTCCACCCTCACCTCTTCCTCCTTCGCCCCTCTTCTTTCCTCCTACAAACCCTCCATCTGTCCCCCTCTTCCTTTTTGCATCTCCTCCTGCTCCCCCTCTCCCTGCAACCCCTCCTCCTCCTCCTCCACCTTGATCAACCAACCACCATTCCTTTGTTCCTCCTCCATTTCCCCCCTTTCCCCTGTTCCTTCCATCGTTCCTTCCTTCCTCACTTTCTTCCATAACTACCTTTTATGTCTTATTCACTTCATCCTCCTCTTCCTCCACCACTACCCCCATCACCCCTCCTTTGTACCTCCTCCACCACCTCACCTCCACCCTCACCACCCCCTCTGTACCTCCTACCCTACCCTACCCCCCCCCAAGCTAGTAGTCATGATACAGTGATGAAGGAATGGAAGTAATTTGGGTGGTGGGGGGAGGGGGGGGGGGTAGGGGTAGTGAGGCATGCAGGTATGATGACCGAAGTGTGTGCATGACCCAGGGCAGTTTACCACCACCACCACTACCACCGACTACCACACACCACTCAACAACCACCATCAACACGACAACCACACCATTACTAGTACCACCATTACCACCACCAGCAAAGACTACCACACATCCCTGAACAACCACCACTACTAGTAACTCCACTAATAGCAGAAGTAATTGACACCACTAAGCCATTTACCCCCTACTACCACCATTACCACCACCATTCGACAACAACAACAACCAACTCCACAGGCTATACACACACTCCTCACTCTTACTCCTTATCTTACCCCCCCCCTAGCTGGTAGTAGTGGTAGTAGTGGTAGTGGTGGTAGTAGTGGGAGTAGTGGTCTTAGTGGAAGTATTGGTAGTGCTAGTAGTAGTGGTGGTGGCGGTGGTAGAATTGATAGTAATGGTATTGGTGTATTGATGGTCGTGATAATTGTTAGTAGTAGTAGTAGTAGTAGTAGTATATGGCTATATTGTAGTAGTACACATCTCCTCCTGCAGTAGTCAGACCCCAGACAAGTTATCACCTCGGGGTGACCTTTCACGCGCTTACCACCAGCACCCATGACGTCACTTCCTGTTGAAGGCGTCCGATGGGTCCAAAAATTTTCCGGGTTCCTAAGTGAGTAGTAAGAACGGCGGTACTTTTGTCCGAGGGGAGCTTAGTCCGGCGGTAGTTTTGTCCGGCAATAGTTGTCTTGTCCATTGTTATTTATATCCATTGTGATTTTAGAGGGATTGGGATTTTGTATATATATATTTTACGTGTGTGTGTGTGTGTGTGTGTGTGTGTGTGTGTGTGTGTGTGTGTGTTATCTTTACGCCTTTTCTCTCTCTTCCCCCCCTTTGTCTTATACTATTATCCCTCTTATTATTTTTCCCCTTCTCACTGATGTTTCTCTACCTTCTCTACCCACCGCAACACAGGGGCCGGGGTACAGGTAACACACACAGGTAGCCCAGCTCGAGACCATGTTAAGTGAGGTCAACACACTGGCCGTAGAAATTACACCCAGGGGCAACAGGAGTAATCTTGTGGTCTGCATATTAATTCATCCTCCACCAAGACTCCTTCCACTTCCTCACTCCACTCGCTCACTCCACAACCTCCCTCCCTCTACTAGTTTTTCTGTGAACTATAAAAGCTCGCCTGGGCTGGCCAATAGATCAAGCCACGCCCAGACAAAGTGTACCGCTTAGCTGGGCGGGCGGACGGGCGGGAGGAGGGCACAAGAAACACGCCCTGCGGTACAACACTCGTGCCGGGGGGACGTTTACACCAGCGACCCTTACCTGACAGCCTAGGAGGTGCTCCGTCGGCCACCACCGTCCTCACACCACCTCCTCCTGTGCCTCCTTCAGCCCTGGCGGCCCTCACTTAACGTCAAATGAATCCACCAAAGACGTAGTAACCTGAAGGAGTGAGTGTGTGTGTGTGTGTGTGTGTGTGTGCTGCTAGAGGTCAGGCAGGTGAACAGGTGCATCAGGGTTCACCACCTTACTGGGCGGTGAGGCGTTCTAACAACAGTACGACGGTCGCCCCCACACCAGGACCCGGCAGTTACAAGGCCTTTCACCACACGAGTCATCCAAACACTGACCACACCATCAGCTGGGTGTTGTCACTGTCTTACCTGCACGATGCCAGAGTGAAGTTGGCAGCTGCTAAAATAAACTTCCCGTACAACTTTAATATCTGGATCACTTGAACATTAGGCACCCCAGATTATTTACCGTGATGACTGAACACCCCCTAACACTACCTGGAGGAGGGGTTAAGTTAGGCTAGCATGTTTAATCATGACGTAAAATAAGCTGGGGTGCCTCAACTTCAGGTGGTCTCCCATTATACACTCCGCCGAACGACTATAAATTTCTTTTTCATAAACACCATCAACACGATCCCCTGGGGTAGGTTGAGAGACACAGAGCGCTGGGTACTCACCATACATCTTGCCTTCGTCTGAGAGGATAATCTTGCGTCTGCCGCAGGGAGGGTATATGGCCAGAGCCTCTTGGAAGCTCTGTTCGATGTCCGGAGACCATACTCCCTCCGCGTCCGCCCCGGTCACGTCCTTGTCATCGTGGAGCGAGTTGACGTCGTCATCGTCCAGCGGCTGAGGGGACGACAACACGTTAGTCAACAAGTAATGACACCTTGACACTCCAACCTGTTATTGTGTCATAGTGCAGGCGTTAGTGAATGCCACCACTAACAACCTCACGACAACACCTGATTTTGTATGTGTGTGTGAGGGGGAGGGGGTATATGACACTGAGTAAGGGTCAAGACACTGTGGCACTATCCTGTCCCTCTGTCAGATAATCCTTCCCTCATCCTACCAGGCCACCTCAATCCTTGCATCAGCTTAAACATTTAATCCTATCTTAAATCCTCTGTGGGTTGATTTACCACAAGTAGGATGATGATGATGATGATGATAGTAATAATAATAATAATGATAATAATAATAATAATAAATTAACCCACGTGTCACCTCTCTAACGGGTCGAACCCACGTGCTCTGAAACAGGTGTAGGTTGGATACGCCTCTCCACAACCCCCCCCCTCCTCACTATACCTCCCCCTCCCCTCACTCTATATATTCCCCCTCCCATTAATGCCCCCTTTTCCCCCTCTTTATTCCTTTACCTGATGGGGGGAGGCAAGAAGGAGGAGGAGGAAAAAGACAGGTGGAGGAGGAAGGAGACGAAGAGAGGAAAAGGGGGACGAAGAGGAGGAAGAGGGGGGGAGGAACGAGGAGGTGGAGGAGAAAAAAGAGGACCAGAAAAAAGTGGAAGGAAGTGAAATAGAAGAAAGAGGAGGAAGCTGAGAACGAAGGAAAAGAAGAGGGAGGATGAAGTAAAAATAAAGAGAAACAAAAAGGAGGGGGGTGTGGGGGTCTGTGGAGGAGGAGGAGGAGGAGGAGCAGGAGGAGGGCAGGAGGAGGAGGAGGAGGAGGAGGAAACAGGAGGAAGGAGGAGAAGGGAGGGGGGTGTTTGGGAGGGAGGGAGGGAGGGAGGAGGGAGGAGGAGGAGGAGGGAGGGAGGGAGAGGAGGAGGGAGGTGGTGTTAGCAGTGGCACCAATCAATAGGTTACCTGTCAGGCGCCAGCTGGGGAACACCTGGTTGGGTGGAGGTGAGGGGAGGGAAAGAGGTTGGGGAGGGAAAGAGAAGGGGTGGTGGGGAGGGAGAGGGAAAGTCTTAAGAAAACGGAAGGTGCAGGACATCCGGCCGCCGAGTGGTGGGGAGGAGGGAGAGGGAGTGAGGAGGGAGAGGGTCTTTACTGGTGGTGGAGAGGAGGAGGGATTATAGACTTGAAGGGAGGGGAGGGAGGGATGGGAGGGTAGGGAGGGTATCACAAATTTGTAGTGTGGGTAGGGGAGAGGAGAAGGATTGTTCATTGATGAGAGATGAGGAGAGGGAGAGAGAGAGAGGAGCTTCTGCAACAAGAGATTGTGGACATGCTCTTGTAGTTGTTAAGTGCGAAAAGAAAGAGAGAGAATGAGAGAGTAGTCATGTGTGTGTGTGTGTGTGTGTGTGTGTGTGTGTGTGTGTGTGTGTGTGTGTGTGTGTGTGTGTGTGTGTGTGTGTGTGTGTGTGTGTGTGTGTGTGTGTGTGTGTGTGTGTGTGTGTGTGTGTGTGTGTGTGTGTCCATCACTCGGGAATGGTTGATGGATGACCAGGAAATGAAAAGTACCAAGTTAGCACCAAGGAAGTACCACGACAGCACCATCAGTACTTAGCCATTACCACGACAGCACCAGGAAAGTACCCTAACAGCACTAAGGAGGTACCAGGACAGTACCATGATAGCACGAGGGAAGTACCAGGACAATACCATGACAGGACGAGGGAAGTACCAGAACAGCACCATGACAGGACTAAGGAAGTACCAGGACAGTACCATGACAGCACGAGGGAAGTACCATAACAGCACTAAGGAAGTAGCAGGACAGTACCATGACAGGACTAAGGAAGTACCAGGATAGTACCATGACAGCAAGAAGGAAGTACCAGGACAGTACCATGACAGCACTAAAGAAGTAGCAGGACAGTACCATGACAGGACTAAGGAAGTACCATGACAGGGCTAATGAAGTACCATGACAGGGCTAAAGAAGTACCAGGACAGTACCAGGACAGCACGAGGGAAGTACCAGGACAGTAACAGGACAGTACGAGGGGAGAACAAGGGAGAGGCGGACTGGCAGATTAGGTAAGTGAACAAAGGAAGAGGAGGAATGGAAGGGGAGAGAGAAGGAAGAAGCAGGGCAGGTAATGAAGAGGGAGAGGGAGAGGAAGGGGAAGAGTGAGGGCTGGAGAGAAAAGACCAAAGAGAGAGAGAGAGAGAGATAAAGAGAACGAGAATTGAAATATATGAGAATGAGGAAGAGATATGGGAGAGAGAGAGAGAGAGAGAGAGAGAGAGAGAGAGAGAGAGAGAGAGAGAGAGAGAGAGAGAGAGAGAGAGAGAGTCTTTACCATTAAGAATAAACCAGCAACACCAATATTAATGTTTACAATCTCCACTCCACGGCCAGGAACAATATCCTTTGAACATCACAACAAGCGAATGAACACCACATCACGTGCATCAGCGGGAGGTGGAGGTGGTGGTTGTGGGTGATAGAAGATAGTGGTAGTGGTGGTTGTGGGTGAGAGAAGATAGTGGTAGTGGTGGTTGTGGGTGAGAGAAGATAGTGGTAGTGGTTACGAATTGAGAGAAGATAGTGGTAGTGGTGGTTGTAGATGATGAAGATAGTGGTGAGTGGTAGTTGTAGATTGAGAAGATGGTGGTAGTGGTAGTTGTGGGTGAGAGAAGATAGTGGTAGTGGTAGTTGTGGGTGAGAGAAGATAGTATTAGTGGTGGGGTGAAGGTGTAGGTAGGTATATCTTGTGGGGTGAGAGCAAGGGGAGGTAAGTTGAGGGGGTGAAGGGAGAGAAATAGTGCGGTGAGGGTAGTGGTGGGGTGAGGGCAAGGGGAGGTAGGTTGTGGGGTGAGGGCAAGGGGAGATAGGTTGTGGGGTGAGGGGAGATGGTGGTGTCCTCCCCTTTAAGTTATTAGTCCACCAATCCATTTTTTCCCCTCGTTGGCTTTGACAGTAATTTTCTTCTACAACACCACCTGCAACTGTGTATTTCTACGTCTCCTCCCTCCCACTATCCCTCCCTCTATCCTTCTATCCCGACCTCTACTCTTCTATCCCTCCCACTTTCCCTCCTTCCCTCTATCCTTCTGTCCCTACCTTCCACCTTTCCTCTATCCCTCCCTCCCTCATTCTATCCCCCATCCTTCCTCCCACCCTCCCTCTGTCCCTCACCTTCATCCTTCCCACCTTCCCTCTATCCCTCCCTCCTTCTGCCCCTCTCACCATCAGGGTACTATAATATGGCACCAAGATGACACCAGTGGAGCATTAAGACACGATGGCACCAAGATGACACCAGTAGAGCATTAAGACACTATGGCACCAAGATGACACCAGTAGAGCATTAAGACACTATGACACCAAGATGACACCAGTGGAGCATTAAGACACTATGCCACCAAGATGACACCAGTAGAGCATTAAGACACTATGGCACCAAGATGACACCAGTAGAGCATTAAGACACTATGGCACCAAGATGACACCAGTAGAGCATTAAGACACTATGGCACCAAGATGACACCAGTAGAGCATTAAGACACTATGGTACCAAGATGACACCAGTAGAGCATTAAGACACTATGGTACCAAGATGACACCAGTAGAGCATTAAGACACTATGACACCAAGATGACACCAGTAGAGCATTAAGACACTATGACACCAAGATGACACTACAGTGGCATTAAGACACTATGGCACCAAGATGACACCAGTAGAGCATTAAGACACTATGGCACCAAGATGACACCAGTAGAGCATTAAGACACTATGACACCAAGATGACACCAGTAGAGCATTAAGACACTATGGCACCAAGATGACACCAGTAGAGCATTAAGACACTATGACACCAAGATGACACCAGTAGAGCATTAAGACACTATGGCACCAAGATGACACCAGTAGAGCATTAAGACACTATGGCACCAAGATGACACCAGTAGAGCATTAAGACACTATGACACCAAGATGACACCAGTAGAGCATTAAGACACTATGGTCAAGATGACACCAGTAGAGCATTAAGACACTATGGCACCAAGATGACACCAGTAGAGCATTAAGACACTATGACACCAAGATGACACCAGTAGAGCATTAAGACACTATGGCACCAAGATGACACCAGTAGAGCATTAAGACACTATGGCACCAAGATACACTCCAGTAGAGCATTAAGACACTATGACACCAAGATGACACCAGTAGAGCATTAAGACACTATGGCACCAAGATGACACCCAGAGCATTAAGACACTATGACACCAAGATGACACAGTAGAGCACAGACACTATGACACCAAGATGACACCAGTAGAGCATTAAGACACTATGGCACCAAGATGACACCAGTAGAGCATAAGACACTACACACCAAGATGACACCAGTAGAGCATAAGACACTATGGCACCAAGATGACACCAGTAGAGCATTAAGACACTATGACACCAAGATGACACCCACAGTAGAGCATTAAGACACTGTGGCACCAAGATGACAACAGTAGAGCATTAAGACACTATGGCACCAAGATGACACCAGAGCATTAAGACACTATGGCACCAAGATGACACCAGTAGAGCATTAAGACACTATGGCACCAAGACACCAGTAGAGCATTAAGACACTATAGACACTCAAGATGACACCAGTAGAGCATTAAGACACTATGGCACCAAGATGACACTCAGTAGAGCATTAAGACACTATGGCACCAAGATGACACCAGTAGAGCATTAAGACACTATGGCACCAAGACGACACCAGTAGAGCATTAAGACACTATGACACCAAGATGACAATTGCAGAGCATAAGACACTATGACACCAAGATGACACCAGTAGAGCATTAAGACACTATGGCACCAAGAGATGACACCAGTAGAGCATTAAGACACTATAGCCCAAGATGACACGGTAGAGCATTAAGACACTATGGCACTGATGACACCACAGTAGA